CTCCGTTGAGACTTCCTCCCAATTTTCTTAAGGCCTTCACCCAAAGCTTAATTAATAAAAAACTAGAAATGATTCAGATTTAATAAATGCATGATGGCCCATTATATATACCTATTATACTCTTAAGTTGAAATTAGTCACGCGTCAAGAATAGGGAAGATATAATAAGTAGGCACGAATCCAAGTCCTTCAAGGTCATGTGAAGGATATTCAAAGAAATTTATAGTTAATACGAAATGACAGGCCGGTGACTCTAGTTTGCTTACACTGTAATATTCTCAACAAGATTTAAGTAAATTAACCACTATTTTAGATTTATTTATAAATCAATGTCGTGCCAAAGAAAATCTTAAAACTTATTAATTTATATTTAAAATTAACTAGGTTTTCAACTTTGCCACCATCAAATATACATAATTTAAAGACCGTTTGTGCCAAGAAATTCTTACTGAAAGAGTAATGCAAGAAGAGATCACTCCCTCTGAAGCCATTTGATGAAAGAAATGATGCCTGTTAGAGAGAAAAAGCACCAAAATATTAGAGCAAGAAGCAAAAGTAATGAATACATGCAAAAACATTTAATTCGCCATATGAACTTGGAAGTGATGGAATATTCTTGAAAATGCTCGGTTTCCTTCACAGGTTCAGTAGTTCTGTCTGTCACTTATTTTCAAAAGCAAAGCTATAACTTTTACTTTATTTTACTTTGAACAAGCATATCACTGTATCAGCTATTTGCAAAGCCTCCAACTGTGACATGTGTAGCCCTACTACAAATTATGCAATTTTTGTCTGTTCTAGAAGCTCATTTTCATCTGTTTAGAGAGAGACATTGACTGAAAAAATATAGATAGGAGTTATATAGATTCATCTGTTATATAACAGACAATTATGAGGAAATAACGAATATACAGCTTCATACTCGTCTGATCCATAGGAAATACGGTACGAAAATGGATTTTTTTTTTTATAGTAGTGTAGCATCGGGAAGGAAACCTTCTTCTGATTCTACAGAAAGAACATCGAAATAATATAAGAAGAGTGGACTATTATAAGCCTTGCTGATTGATTGAACAATGAGCCCTTCTGCTTTCCAAAATAAGTACAAAACAACTGAATGCACAGAATCTGGGGATGAGATTGAAACTAACAAAATATAAGATTTAATTTCATTCACATGCTTAACATGGGATGTATAAATTGTTGTCTCTTAGAAAATGATGTAGAAATAATATCCATGTATATTGAATGGAGGCTGGGTCCGTTTGTTTTTAATTTTAATTGTAATGTATAACAGTTGAAGAATTAGTTTTTATTTAATTTAGCCCTATAGGCATGGAAGAACACGATAAGAGAAAGATCAATCATAATTAAGCACACATATATATATAGTTACCTATCCAAGCCACAATCTCAACCAGATAATTAAATTGGCAGCATGAGTGAGAGCCTCCCTTCATTTTTGCAGTTGTTGCTGGGTGATGCTTTTGTGCTCAAGTTCTGCAAATGCTTTCTGATAACTCTCAGGTTGCTCTCTCACATGTGAAGGATCTACTCTATAGAACACTGGCATAACAAGGTGGCCTTTATTTTTGGAGCACTCTAAGCTCCTTCAAGCACCACGTGGAAGATGTATTACTAATTGGGGGATATTAAATGCCCTTGCGCACATAATAAAAACATCTCAACTTAAAAGATCAAGATATGGGTGTATAGGAACATTTAATATTTTAATTAAGTCTTCGCATGGGTTTGTTCAAAACCAACAAAATCATATTTCATCCAGTACAAGTTACATCAAGTAACAAATGCATACACTAAATGCGAATGGAACAGAGTAGTCCCAGAGAATTAAGATTTGTAACTCTTAATTTCTTCCATCAGCTTATTATGTCTTCATTAACTGATGAGATATTCATCTTTGATATTCGCAAAGCCTTTGCCAGCAACTTCAGTAATTTGATCTGCCACTACGACATAGAAGAGATGAAATTCCAATCCTTAATTATGATGTGGGATTGGGGCGAGGGAACCCCAAGAGTTGCAAAACATTCACAATCATTCTTTCTCCTTTTTTTATCTTTCGAAAAAAATCAAAGTTTAAGTGAGTTAAATTTCAGTTTTCATTAGACTAGTATGCCTTTACTTGGGTTTTGGCATGCACACAATTAGAATAAAATTTAAAATTTTTTAAATTAAACCTTGTGAAAAAATCTTTGGGCTTTGCTTAGCATGCACTAATCATGAAGATTTTCTCAACTGTTCAAGAATACTTGGCTGCTATAAACTGACAATGTTGGACGAAGTAATTTACGTTCCATTTACGTATGTGCCTAATAAAATGAAACTATATATATATATATATCCAATATTAGTATGTCTCTAGCCCATTGGAATTAATATAACTAGGTTTTATATAATACAATGAGCAGCCCAATAATGATGCATTTCAAAAGAAGTTATGAATTAAGACGAGAATACTGTGCAAAACAAATTTCTTACTGTATTCACTCAATAATGAAAATTCAAAAGGAAAAAAAAAATAGAAAGAGTAGTAAACAGCCAAGTATACCCTAACCATTCAAAGGGACAAGTTTGAGAGAAAATTCAAGGATCGATAAGAAAGATATTAAGTTCAATTCATTATTCGATTAAAATTATTTACGTCATAAGGCACGCTTTGTTGCTTCAATAATCGAGTCATGTTGCTATAAAGAAAATGAATTTCAGATATCCACTAGGAGGAAATTCAGCTCAGCGTAAAACCCTTGACGATCTATTACATGCATACATATATAGATATACATTTTGAATAAAAGGAAAAATCAAATGATATTAAGAAGTAATAACATCTACAAAGTTCCAATGAATTGAGGGAAAATAAAAACATCTCTAACCCTATTGCATGCATACATACATATATATGGCTACATGATTTGATAATAAAAAATTTGATGTCATTAACGTATTAAAAAGAAAGCAATTCTCAAGGAAAAGAACGCTAGGAATCAATGATGATGACTATTTTATTTTTAATTCTTTAGGAACCGTCAGATCAATTGGACGCTAGTTGACAGCTTTAAAACTCAAAATCATTTCTTCAAAATCAATCTTGTTAGAAAAATTGATCCATAAATCCTTATAGTCTAACTTGAATTTTAATTAGGTCTTGGTAATTTTTTTTATTGGGTCCTTACATTTTTTTCCCATTATAGCCGTTGGTATCTATACTTATAATTTATCAATCTGTAAGAGAAACAACGTCAATAACGAATGATGTCGTCCTCACTCAGCATACACTTGAATTTAATTTGTCACATGAATATAAATAAAACCAAAATCAACCAAATTATAGATTATGTATAAAAATGTAAAGAGACAGCTTTGTGAATAATAATTTCTTATTATGTTAATAATAAATAAATAAATTTCATCTTTTTATTTTGTATTTTGTGGCGATTTACATGTGGTTTAGCCACCATTGATATTCGTTATGAGTTTAGAAACTAATGCTTATAATTGAAAGACTATAAAAATAAAAAATTACAAAGACCTAATTAAAAATCAAGTGAAGTTACATGAACTTACATTTTAATTTTTCGAAGACTTGGAAAGTGGAAACTAAGATTAAAACAAATAAAGAAAACACAGATTTATGTTTAAGACTGGAAGAGAGTAGTCAAATATCACTCTATAGCTTATCATTTATTGAAGAAAATGTATTGTCGTAACTTGTAATCCAAAGAAAATGTATAATTGTTTTGGTCGTCTTCTTGAAGGAACAAATGAAATTGAAGTGAGGGAATACTTCTGAAAATGCATGATTGCTTTACAGGTTCAGTTAGTCTCTCCCTCTTTGCTTAGTCCCATTTCGTTTTATTATGATGCATGTGCATGGTATCAAATGTTAATTTTTACCGTCCAATATTAAATCCCAGCTATCAAATGTTAACCACAATCAAATTGCCTGAAGCAAACTCATGCGTTAAGGGTGGGATGTGACCTAGCATATGGGTAGAATTTAAATAGTTTAAATTAAACTATATTGACACACACACACACACACACACACACACACACACTAATATATATGTGTGTATGTGTGTGTGTTTTGTGTGTGTGTGTGTAAAGGTTATTTATCCCAAATGAGTTCAATAATAATCAAATCTGACTCGATGCTCCATAGTACTAAACATCAAAGGAATGCAAAAAAAAAAAAATTATACCAACGGCAACATTCCCTTTTTAAGGATTTTAATATATTGATAGGTTAAAAAAATTTTATGTTTTGCAGTTCTTCCTTATCATCATCATCATCAATATTTTACACAATCATATCTAAATATCTATCTTACTATATTTTAATGTATGGTAGTTCTGGTAGCATTTCATTGTTGCTTTTAAATTTCTTTCTTTATCGGAATTTTATTCATTTAATGGGAAAATTGCAATGAGGTCCCAAGTAAGGAAAATAATTGAAAAACAAGTCTTAAAGGTTGTCATTTCCACCGTAGGACTTGTCATTATAGGGTGCTCAAATTGTTATTGGGACTTTTTAATAATTATTTCTCTTCTATGGGACTTTAATAATTATTTCTCTTCTATGGGACTTGATTATAATTCTCCCTCATTTAATTTGGATCACATGAACCATGCTGATTTTTTCATATAGCAGACGCTAAGATTTTGGGGTATTTTTAATTAAATGCAACTTTGAGGATTCGCAAATATTTTCAAAACTGTGGTAATACTTTCTTTTTTTTTTTCTTCAGAGCAAGATGATCGGATGACTTGAACCAGATCCAACTTTTTAGGCTCCTGATTATGAGTTTACGACTTTAATGGATGCAGCCTTATGAATATATATATATATATATATTTATAGATGAAATGAAAATGATGCAGCCATCAGTGATAAGCATTGAAAAAGAATAAGTTAAGAGGATGTTGGTGTTCAAAATCGAACCTGTGGGTTCTTCTTCTCATATTCTTCAGATGCTTTAATTTCTAGTGATTATATTTCCAGACTGCTTCTTTGCAGGCCGATTGCACTTTTGAGAGGCCGATTGCGTTGCATTAGAGCTACGATGCGGATGCAATAATGCCAATTGAATTTGTTTGATGTAATTTTGATATTCAACGGCAGATGTCGGGCACACCCCACACTCTTCGATCACTACTGTTGTTTCATCATCATAAGGCGAAAGGGCTGTGAATTCAAATTGAAGCAATAATGGATGATAGGTAGTGTTGCTTTGAGCTTCTCTTTTCTTTTCTTCAATTGTCCTTTGTACCTTTTTCCATGACTTTGCATCGTACCAAAGACAAACATGTGACAACAGAGACACATGAAAAGACTCGCCTGGAGACATGTAAGCATATTGTCCATCAATAAACAATTTGGCACCAATTGTAGTCCGCGATGGTGAGCCATAAATCACGGCACAACAAATAAAGGCGCCATCCCAAGGTTGTGGAATCGAGCTGAGATCCACAGTCACCAAAGACTGTGTAGTCCTATACATGACCCACTCCGCAACTCTTCCTCCCGGAAATTCCATTTGAGCCCGGTAATGAATGTCTTTGTTATTATTCATGTAAAGTAGCACTTTGGCCTCAACAGCTTTGATTGACTGCCCATCCAACTTCATGCAACTTCTGAAACTGAAGTTATCATAAAAATAATTTTTTCCTTCTATCTCTTCACTCATTAAAGGTGAATGTAAAGTCTCAAGGGACCAGCAGCCATTGGCTTCCAGTGTACAGATAGAGGGAGGGAGTTGTGGTAGGGACAGAAGCCTTTTGCATCCATCTAAGGTGAGACATTGCAGGCTTGAAAGATGTTTGATGCTTAAAGGCAAGGTCTCTATATTACTCCTCGAGAGATCTAACTGACTTAATGACGACAACAAGCTGATGTTGTCAGGAACTTCAAATAATTCACTACAACCCCTCAGCACTAGAGCTTCCAAAGCACGCATCTCATCAAATATGGAACGTCCATTTGATGCTAGCTTATTACAATAATCAGCATGAAGGCGTTGGAGGGTGTGCTTGTCAACCAATTTGTGAAGACTTGTCACCCCTTCGCATCTTTCTAGGTCCAAAAAATAAATTTTGCTGAGACATCCGCTTGATGAGGACAACTCACCATTGATGGCTGTTCCACAAAGCATCAATTCAAACAAATTATATTCTGAGGTCACTGAAAATTCGCGTAGTCCTGAGCATCCCGTCAAGTCGAGCATACTTAGTGATTTGAGATGGGTGTTGCTCGTAAGGTTGGTAAGGGCTTTGCAACCACTTAGCAATAATCCACAAAGGCTATGGAGAGATAAAATAGAGGGATGAACATTCAGCAATTTTGAACAACCCTGAAGATAAACTTCTGCAAGATGTATGGCCTTGGAAAAATTTGGGAGCTCAGTCAAGTCTTTTGATTCATGAAGATCAATTTTGGTTAAATTCACAAGATTCTGTAAAAAAAAATAAAAAAATAAATTACACGGTAAGATTGGTGGCAAAAATAAAAATAATTACACTCTCTTATCTTTTTTTTTTAATAAGACCTTGTTAGCAATTTTATTTACAAAATTAGCAATGTCAAAAAGTATTACAAATTTTTTAAAATTATACTTAGCCAATAATCTATATAAATATCAGTGTGATGATGAAAGGGAAATGCATTTTCTAGAATGGGTTGTCAATCTTTTATTAAATTTTCTAAGAGATTTTAAGGACCAATAGGTAAAAATTTATAAATGATACTGAAGAGAGGGTGCATATATAATAAAATTTTTCCAACTAGTGTATTAATAATATTTTATAAGAGAAAAAAGTAGAAAATGTACCTGCTCTCCATCCCAGAGTTTTGTCAAATTGCTGTTGGGCATTTTTATTTCAACAAGATTTTCTCCATTGAATGTTGTTGGCAAGGACTTTAAAGGGCATCCCACCCAATCTAATAGCATGAGATTTCTTGGCAAAAGCTTCATACTAGAAGCATTTAACTTGTTGCTAAGCTGACCATTCAAATTTCCATAAAACCTAAGAAATTTCAGATTGGGCATTGAACGAAAGGCTTTAATAATTACATCCATCTCTTCAACTTCTGAAAGGTTCATAATCATGCCTTCAATACTTCCCTAGCAAACAAAAAAATACTAATAGTAATAAAAATATTATCTGAATCAAATAGGAATTTGGAATTTAACAATCTTTTTAATTAAAAAAAAAGTAAAAAATTTCATTCTTACCATTCTTTTCTTCAATATCGCAGAACCTTTCTTGAAAATCCAAAATATCTTGCACCATGTAGGATATTTTAATGATTCTTCCCGAACAATTTGTTTACCCATTTCTTTTATCAGATTGTGCATACATATTCTTCCTCTATAAACAATATCTAAAAGAGCTTTATCTTCAAGACTTGTCAATCCAATCTCCGTTGAATAACCGCATCCATCTAACAATTTTTTTACGTGCTTGACATGTACATCATAATAATTGAAAAAACATGTGATATGCAAGAAAATATTTTTCTCTTCCTCATCAAGTCCTTCAAAACTCAATTTGAGGATATCGTTAACTTTTAAACAAGGTAATTTTTGAAGCTTTACCAGTTGGCTTTCCCATGCTTCTTGATTTTTGCCATGCAAGAAGGAGCCTAAAACCTTTAGGGCCAATGGATTTCCACCTACATATTCAGTCACTTTTTCTGCTAGCACCCTTATCTTTGGGTCACCATAGCCTTTTTTGAAGGCATTCAAGGCGAAAAGTTGAAAAGCTTCATCAGGATTCAAACACTGAAGCACATATATATCATCCACTTCATTACCAAGTATTTGCTTATCTCTGGTTGTTATCAAAATTTTACTACCTGATCCAAATTCAAGTCCTCGAACTAGATTTTCTATTTGCTCAAGATCATCAACATCATCAAGCACAATGAAAACTTTTTTCCTACCAAGCCTACTTATGGTACAAGGATATATTGCATTGCCAATGTGGGATTCTTTATCCCCTAATAACCTCCAAACAATTTTTTCCCTCAAAGCATCTATTCCATGTTTCTTTGATTCTTCCCTTACATTAGCCAAAAAGCAAGACCCTTCATATGTAAAATGCAATTTTTTAAACAATGCTTTTGCAAGAGTTGTTTTGCCCAAACCGCCCATGCCCCAAATTCCAATGAATTGGCAGCCACCGTTGTTTGAACCTTTGTCCAACAATGATTGTACATCTGCCATTCTTTTGTGAATTCCAATCAAGCCTTTTAGATAATCTTCACTTTGATACCTAGGGCCCAACTTTTGTATGACATGATTCACTATTTCTTTAATTAGCTCAGCTTCATCCCTACACACCATTGAAAAAATAAAGAGGCACCAAATTTAATGCCACATTATCTATTCATTTCAAATTTTGAACTATTCCTAACAACATGTAACTATGAAGATTCACCAATTTTTAAAATTTGTTATAGGTTTTTTTTTTGTTGAGAAATATTACTTATATTAGATGGCATAACTATGTGTGTGTATCAGAAAGATCATTATAACCATATACCCCTCCGGTCGGGATTTGCATTGGGTGCTCATCAGGATCTGGACGATCCAGATTTTATTTTATTTTTATTTTTTAACAATAATTATTTTAATAGGTATAGAATAAAAAATAAAGATAATCTCTTAACTATCATACTTTTAAAAAAATAATTATTTCTATTTTAAAATAATTATTTAAAAATATTAAATCTAGACCATCTGGACGGTTCAGATTGCTCATCACTTGATGAGCACCGAATGCAGGCTCCTCCGGTCGTTAATATAGAACCTAATTGTTGAGTTGATCATGACTCTAAATATAAGACTTATTGCTCATATTTATAAAATTTTTCTAAATTATCCTTGTTGATATTTTCTCAATCATAATCAAGCAAGAGAGGGAAAGAGGATATTAAGGATGATAATTGTGGTGTTTTAAAAAAATGTCATTTTTTTATAATTAATTAGCTTATCTAACTTTCTTTCTTTTTTTTTTAAACGAGCAACCTAACTTTTTAAATCTAAATCAGTTACATATAAGGACCGAAGGAATTTATATACAAGTTACCTGTCGAAGCTACAATGCCACCCAGATAAATTGGCGGCATGAGTGAGAGCCTCCCTCCACTTTTGCAGCTGATACTTATTGATGCTGCTTTTGCGCTCATGTTCTTCAAATGCTTTGTGGTAACTCCCACATTGCTTCCTCACATATGAAGGATCTACTCTATAGAACACTGGCATAACAAGGAGACCTTGATCATTTTTGGAGCACTCCAATATTTTTGCAAGCTCCGTCAAGCACCACGTGGAAGATGCATAGTTTTCTGAGAAGATCACAAGGAACAGAGTTGAATCTTCAATGGCTTTCTCAAGAGACGGCCATACATCATCTCCTTTCTCAAGTCTATAGTCGATGTATGTATCTATTTGTTTTCTGCGAAGAGCTTCATGAAGGTGGCTTGTGAAGTTGAAGCGGGTGTCCTCACCTCTGAAACTAATAAAAACATCATATTTCTTTGGAGATTGAGAAGATGGAGCAGCGGAAGAAGATGAGGCCATATCAGATTGCTTAGCTACTATAAGCAAATGAAAAGAGAACTGCGACTGCTTTCAATTCAGATTCAAGAACGATCGGTAATAGGAAACAAAGCGGCCTTAGAGGAAGATATATAAGATTTTAGCGGAGTAGATTGAGTCAACCAAGTCAATAAAAATTGGAACAAAATGAAAAATAAATAATCATAAATTGCAAAGAAAGGCCGTCCTGCCGAGTTATTAATGTGGGGAGAAGACAGCACTCAATGAAGAACATAGTACAAAGAGAAAGGAAACTCCGGTGACACTTTCTCCGAAATGTTGAAAGCTTAATCAAATTTTCCAAGTGCTGGTCAAAAAGAAAAACAAAATCAAATTTCCTAAGAAAATATGAACGCCTGCTGTCAAATGTCCTCATAAAATATGATTTAATAAAGCACTATGATTACACCTCTCTTATTTTTCCCCTCGGCAGCATTGGAAATAATATAACGGATTGGACATGACAGTGAGAATAGTAAAACTACACTCATATAACCGCGTAAATTAAAGTAGAAAGTTCACACACAATTGGATAGCTTGTTTGCTTATAATTATCTGAGAATAATTTTGTCTTATGTTAAAGATGAAAAGCAGTATAAGGGAGATGAAGTCACACATTAGGCTCGTATGTATCTTCTTATCTTAAGTACTTATAGCCATTTTCATTAAAAAAAAAAGTAGTTTTTAATATAAATAAAAACTTGAAAAAAATTAATTTACATTTTTTATAAATAGTTAATTCAATTTACTTATTTAATCGATCTGAATTAATTATTTATATATTATAATTAGGAATATAAACAGTATTCAGGTAGTACATAGCATGCACATGCATTTTATTGCGGAGCAAATTATTGAATAATGAAATGCAGTGCGCAGAAAGCAAAAGTGAAGTGCCAGAAAATCCAAGGCATGGCTGATGGTAAAGAGCCTCATAAATAGTGATATATCTCATTTTGAGTAATAATATTAAATAATGTTTTGTATCAAATGTCCCTTATGCCAGTCTATTGTCATATAGTTTTTCTTCTTGATGAATGATATTATATTTTTACTAAAAAAATAAGACTTATCCCAACTCGGATTGAAGTTCAGAAAATGCAAAAGGATAAATTGAGTGTAAGAGCAGAAAAATGAAAACAAAAAGTGTTAAGACATAATAATTCAGTGAAAATAATTTATCTGTATGTTTACAGAAATTAGATAATTTTGTATTATATGAGAAAAATGAAGAAAGTAATGCTGTACGCCAAGGCACACTTCAAACAAAAGCCAATAAACAAAAAAAAAAAGCAAATAAAAGCTACTTTTGACTTTTATACCAATATCGTCAATCTGCCTATGAAAATGGAATCTCCGTTGGCTTTTTGGCATGTGACTCCCCGTTTCAAAGGGGGGAAATAAATCACCACGAAACTTCATGGAATGGAATGCGGTCCATTTCAAAAGGGGGATGGCCCTCCAACAACTCTGCACTCTGAACTTAATTAAAGCTTTCTTTTACCCAAAAAAAAAATTAACACTTTCTTTTATGCTCACAATCAAATATTCTTCTTAATTATATTGATCGTTTCTCTTAAATACCCATACTATTAGGAAACACCGAAATTTAATTAGTTTATTGTGTTTTTTTTTCTTTTAGATTTTCAGTTCTGTCACAATTTAAATATGTGGGTTGGTTTGGGTTAAGGTTAATCAAAGTGATTTTCATTCCAATTGATTTTTATAAACTGACGTCAGGAGCATTTTAGTATTTCGGTTAAAAGTTTAGGATTATTTTTACACAATTAACCTTTTTTTCAAATTAGGGTTATTTTAGTATTATTAAACATTATCATGGGTCTCACTACATACAAAAGGTGATGGCTGTAAGACTATAACCATGTCATTTTTGCTTTGATTTTACAAATTTATAAGTACTTTTGCATTTTTAAAATCTATGAATTATGCAATTCTGGATATAAGAGGATTATCCAATAAATTCTATCAAGGTGTATACAAATGATGAAAAATGGAGATTATAGGAAAAATAATAATTATGGGTAAAAGCAGTGAGATGCCAAAAGAGCAATCATTTAAAGGCAGCTAAATTCTCAAAGAAATTGCTGAGAAATGAATTGGAAATACTGAAAGGTTTATTCAAAATTTAAATATCTTGTTTAAGATTAATACTTATGAATTACTGTTTGTTTGAATGATATTTATAATTTATTTTTTAAAAAAATTTTAACATCTGAGCTGTCATTGTATTTATTGATCTTTTGGACTTAATTATCATTTCCCTAACAATTATGTTATTATATTATTGTCGGGTATTTGCATAATTAATTTTGAGTTCTGGAAATCACAAGGTAACTTCCAGAAAGTCTGGCGTGCTCTAATGAGCCAGTTAATTTGGGTCAAGTGAGGCTCCTAATAAAAACTAGCAAGATTTTTTATTTTCTTGCCTTAACTTATTCCAGCGCCAATATTTTTAATCTCTAATTATTTATAATAAATTTATTTTTTTAAGAAGTGACAGTTATAAAATTATTTTTCTTTTAAATTTTGTGTATATTAAAACAAAAAAATCCAAATATAAAAAAATATTAAATTGAATCTGAATCATCGAAAATCAATGTGGTTGCTTCTTATTATGACGAGGGTATTGTACAAAGTAAACCTGCATTTTTATTATTGTTTTTCAAGACATGCAAAAGATAAGTTTTTATAAATTATGTATGTTTATTTTATCTGTTTTTATTTTATTTTTTCGGCTTGTAATTAGCACTTCTTTATATACTGTATTTGCTTATTTTGAATTTTAATGCCTAAAGTAATGTATTTGTGAGTCTTTGTTCTCTAAAACGAAGGAGACAACTAAAAGCAAAGCCAACTTTTACCCGTTTTCGTGTGCCTTCCGAAGAGTTTTTTTTTTTTTTTGAGTTTTAATGCGTACTTAGGAAATGACCTTGCGACTTTCTCCCAAATTTCCTAAAGGCCTTCACCCAAAGCTTAGTTAATAAAACAATAGAAATGATTCAAATTTAATAAGTGCATGATGACCAATTATATATTCCCTCCGTCTCTTATTATAAGATCTAATTTTTTGAATAGATTTGTCTCTTTTTATAAGATCTCTTTTGTGTTTGTCTGAACATTTATTATATTATTACTTACTTTACCTCTAGTTTAATGTATTAAATATATTCTCTTTCTTCATTTATCTCACTATTACTCTCTCACATCTATCCATTTATATATAGGGGTATATTTGGAAAAAAATTACATTTGCTACATATTAATTGCTTTTAACTAATTTTAACTGTTTTCTTAAACCATGTAATTTAGTTAAAAGGATCTTATAATAAGGGACGGAGTAGTATACCCATCCTACTTGTAAAAGTTGAAATTAAGCACACAGCCAAAATAGGGAAGATATAAGTAGGCACGAATCCATTATTTTTTATTTTAATTTATTATTTTTTAAAAATTATTAAATTATATATATGAGATATATGTTATAAAATTCATGCTTTTCAATCATTTTACATGTAAACTTACTTTTCTAAATAATTTTTAATTTAACAAACTAACTTTTATAACAAACCAATTCAAATATAAATCACATTAGGCTAACTGACTTTTTCAAAAGTCATATAGAATAAAAGTCAGTTTTATCACTGTTAATCCAAATACACCTAATTATTTACATCGTATTTCATATATAATATTTAATTAATTTTAACTAATTTTTTATTTACATAATTCAGTTGATTAATCCAAGTACACTCTAAGTACTTATTTACATCGTATTTCGTATATAATATTTAATTAATTTAACTAATTTTTTATTTACATAACTCAGGTACGTAGTTGGTTGTCATTTGTTATATGTGTGAATGAGTTTTTAAACTCAAATTTGTTGGTGACATGTTCGAATGAGCATGTGCTTCATTTGTATTAAACAAAACAAAATAACCTAATTTTGTTTCCCAAGATACAAAGGCAAGCAAAACTTGAAAATAGATAACCTATAACTTAGTTTTAATTGTGTACCTTAGCGTCCATTCCTTACTGAAAGTAATTGCCTAAACAAAAGTTAAAAGAAAATCGCTCCTGAACGACCTGTCGGCCAAACGAATCTAATGGTTGTTCGAGTTCCCTTATTTTAAAAAATTTTGTATTGTGTGAAAATAATTTTAATTCATAAAACGTAAAAATAATTTTTTAAATTGATTATTAGAGGCATTTAGCCAATGATGTGTGCAAGTCTTGACATTTTTAATTATTATTAGCTCTCATTTCCTCTCCTCTTTAATAAAACGAGCTGCCATCAATGATCGTTTGATTTCCATTTTTGAACCCTTTTTTTAGCCTTTACCATAAAGCTCGGGTGGGTACAGTGCATATTATTGTACTTTTTTCCATCCTAAATAAATATAAAATTCTACTATATTTTATTTTTTAAATTCATAAATTTTTCTTGAACTATCTCTATTTATTATGAAAATAAAAGATATGACGCATGTAATTAATTGAAAGTAAAAATAAAAAAATATTAAACGTTGGTACATTTTAAAGGTGTATACCGAAGTCCACCCAAAAATTTCCTGTAAACGTTTCCACTGATACGTACGGATTGCGGGCGGCAGCGACGGAGAAGCTCCTGTGAAATTAAAGTAGAAAACTCACACATAATTGGATATATATATATATATATATATATCCTCTCTGTGTTTTTCCCAATATTTTTCTTACATTTAGACTTCAAGAGTTATTGATTAAACAGAAGATGTTGTATCACTCAAAATTCAAAAAGTGCATATGAATCTCCCAATATTGAAGATCTATAAGAACCTCGATTTACTTCTTCTTGTTTGATTTGAATATTTATTTGTTAATACTTGTAGTCGACAATGATGATCCAGAAAAGACGGCGCAGAAAAAGAATGCACCATCCCAAGGTTGTGGAATGGAACTGAGATCCACAGTCATGAAAG